TCTCTCACTTTAGCCTCGCAAGTCACAAAGATTACAAGCCTGCACCACTTTGCCTAGCAAGACCTAAGTTAACTACAGACTCTGCCACTTAATTCCATTGTGAAACTGAACAACCTCATGGAGCCTCAGTTTCCTCATCTGTTAAATGTAGATGACAATATCACCTTCCTACATCTCAGAGTTCATCATTTCACTTCAGTTACCATTACTGAAAAAGTATGTTGAACACTACAACATACATTGCAAGTTAAGGGATTATCCCAAAGAAAAGAAGCAGAACCATCGGCAAAATCCCAGGAGTATGAGACCACTAACAAGTTTTGGCTTATACTGAATCCCTGGATCAGTGCTAAAACCAACTAAAACCATGTTTTAGCTTTAAGTGGCTCCAGTTTTCTAATTGCCACTTATTATTTTTAATCTACATTTTTGGTGCATTATAATTGTACATAGTATTGGGATTCATTATGTCATATTTGTATGTGCATATAACATAATCTGATCCATCTTATTCCAAGTACCTCCCCTTTCCTTCCCCTCCTCCCTCCCCTGATCCACTCACTCTGCTCTACTGATCTCCCTTCTATTATCATTATTATTATTTTAGTTGATGCAATATATATATATATTTATTTATTTATAACACATAAATACACATATATGTATTCAGGATTCATTGTAGCATTATGTTCTTCAGTTCCATCCATTTATCAGCAAATGACATAATTTCATTTTTTATGGCTGAATAAAACTCCACTATGTATATATACTACATTTTCTTTATCCATTTGTTTGTGGAGGGCACCTAGGCTGTTTTTATAATTTGCCTATTGTAAATTGTGCTGCTATAAACATTGGTGTGCATACAGGCTGATTTTATCTTTTTGAATAAATATCAAGGAGTGGGAAAACTGGGTCATATGATAGTTCCAAATATGGTATTTTTTCTTTTTTTTTTTAAGTTGTAGATGGATACAATACCTATATTTTATTTATTTTTATGTGGTGCCAGGATTGAACCCAGTGCCTCATGCATGGTAGGCAAGTACTCTACCACTGAGCCACAACCCTGGTCCCATATGTGGTCTTTTGAGGAATCTCCATACTGCTTTCCAAAGTGGTTGTAACAATTTGCAATTCTAACAACAATGTGTAAGTGTACCTTTCCCCCCAAATCCTTGCCAGCAACTATTGTTATTTGTATTCTTTAAAAAAATCTTTTTTTAAAAAATTTCTAGTTGTAGATGGACAATGCTTTTATTTTTCTTTATGTGGTGCTGAGGCTTGAACCCAGTGCCTCACACATGCTAGGCAAGTGCTCTACCACTGAGCCACAACCCCAGCCCACTATTTGTATTCTTGATGATTGCCATTCTGACTGGGGTGAGATGAAATACCAGTGTAATTATGATCTGCATTTTCCTGATTTCTAATGATGTTGAACATATTTTTTTATATATTTGATGGCCTTTTGTATCTCTTCTTTTGAAGAATGTCTGTTGAGATTTTTTGCCCACTTATTTATTAGGTTGTAATTTTTTGGTGTTAAGTTTTTTTTTAGTTTTTTATGTATTCTGGATATTATTACCCTATTGAAAGACCAGCTGGTAGAGATTTTCTTTCATTCTCTAAGCTCTCTATTCATGTTTTTAATTGTTTCCTATGCTGTGCAGAAGCTTTTTAAATTTGATGCTCAGAATTGATTTGGCTATTCTGGGTCTTTAATTCTTCCATATGAATTTTAGGACTGTTTTTATAGTTCTGTGAAGAATGTCATTTGGTGTTTTGATAGGGATTGCGTTAAATTTTCAGCTTGCTTCTGGAAATATAGCCATTTTGATAATATTACTTCTATCTATCCAAGAACATGGCCACTCCATTTTCTAGGTTATACTTCAATTTCTTTCTTCAGCATTCTATGATTATCATTGTAGAGGTCTTTCATCTCTTTTATTAGATTTATTCCCAGATATTTTTTGAGGCTATTTTGAATGTAATTGCTTTCCTAATTTCTTTTCAGCAGACTCATTATTGAATTATCAGAAAGCTATTGATTTTTGTATGTTGATCTTTTATCCTGATACTTTGATGAAGTTATTTATCAGCTCTACAAGACTTTGGTAGAAATTTTTGGTTCTACATATAAAATCACGTCATCAGCAAACAGATAGTTTGACTACTTCTTTTCCTATTTGTATCCCTTTTATTTCCTTCTCTTGCCTGTTTGCTGTGGCTAGAGTTTTGAGACCTGTATTGAATAGAAGTGGTGAGAGTGGACATCCTTGTCTTGTTCCTGATTCTAGAAGAAATGCTTTCAGTTTGTCTTCATTCAGTATGATGTTGGCTTTGGGTTTGTTGTATATAGCCTTTATGATGTTGGGTAAGTTCTTCCTATCCCTAGTTTCTTCAGCATTTTTAACATGAACAGGTGTTGGATTTTACCAATGGCTTTTTCTGCATGTATTAGGATGATCATGCAATTTTTCTCATTAATTCTATTTATGCGATGAATTACATCTATTGATTTGGGTATGTCAATCCAACCTTGCATCTCTTGGATAAGACCAACTTGATCATGGTGCATAATCTTCTTAATGTGCTTTTGGAGGTGGGTTGCTAATTTTTTTTTGTATATTTTAAAAATTAGAGACAGGGCCTCACTGAGTTGCTTAGGACCTCACTAAGTAGCTGAGGCTGGCTTTGAACTCACCATCCTCCTGCCTCAGCCACCTGAGCAACTGGGATTATAGGCATGTGCCGAAGTGCTTGGTGGATTGCTAATATTTTATTAAAGATTTTTATGTCTGTATTCATCATGGGTATTGGTCCATAGTTTTATTTTCCTTGATGAGTCTGTTTTAGTCAACTTTTTCACTGTTGTGACCAAAAGACCTGACAAGAACAATTAGAGGAGTTTATTTGGGGGGCTCACAGTTTCAGAGGTCTCAGACCATAGATGGCTGAATCTATTGCTCTGAGCCCTAGGTGAGGCAGCACATCATGACAGAAGGGTGTGGTGGAGGAAAGTGGACAAAATTTATATCCCAAAGGCAAGGCCTTAATGACCCACCTATTACAACCACACCCTACCTGCCTGCACTTACCACCCGGTGATTCCCTATGAAGGGATTAATGCACTGATAAAAAGTTCTTATAACTCAATAATTTTGCCTTTAAACTTTCTTGCACTTTCACATGAGCTTTTGGCAGGGGGTACATCATGTCCAAGCCACAACAGAGTATCTAGTTTTGATCTCAGGTTGATACTGGCTTCATAGAATAAATTTGGGAGTATTCCCTCCTTTTCTATTTCGTGAAATAATTTGAGGTGGTTTGGCATTAGCTCTTTAAAGTTCTGGTAGAACTCAAGTGAGATGATTATATGATTCTTGTTTTTAAGTCTATTAATATGATAAATTATGTTTATTGATTTCCATATGTTGAACCAATCCTGCATCTCTGGGATGAACCCCACTTGATCGAGGTGCACTACAGAATTTTATTGAGAATTTTTGCATCTATGTCCATCAGGGATATTGGTCGGAAGTCTTCTTTCCTTGATGGGTCTTTGTCTGGTTTTGGTCTCAGGGTGATCTTAGCCTCATAGAATGAGTTAGGAAGGGTTCCCTCCTTTTCTATTTCATGGAATACTTTAAGGAGTATTGGTGTTAATTTTTCTTTGAAAGTCTTGTGGAACTTGGCCAAGAATTCATCTGGTCCTAGGCTTGTCTTGGTTTGTAGGCTTTTGATGGCGTTTTCTATTTCATTACTTAAAATTGATATGTTTAAATCATGTTTGACCTCCTCATTCAGTTTGGGTAGGTTATATATCTCTACAAATTTGCAATGTCTTTGATATTTTCTATTTTATCAGAGTATAAATGTTCAAAATAGTTTTTGGTTATCTTCTGTATTTCAGACATGTCTGTTGTGATATTTCCTTCTTCATCTTGTATTTTAATAATATGAATTTTGTTTCTTTTTCTCTTCATTAGCATAGCCAGGGGTTTATCTATATTATTTATTTTTTCAAAGAACCAACTTTTTGTTTTTTCAATTTTTTTCTTTGATTTCATTGATTTCAGCTCTGATTTTAATTATTTCTTGTCTTCTACCTGCTTTTAATATTGATTTGTTCTTTTTCTAAGGCTTTGATATGTAATGTTAGGTCATTTATTTACTGACTTTTTATTCTTTTAATCAAAGTGCACAAATGCATTATACTGTTATATATAACTAATTAAAACAAATAAAAAAATTAAAAAGAACTCAACTGAGAATTCATCTGATCTTTTGCTTTTCTTATTTGAAAGCCTTTTATTATTATTTCAATTTTATTGCTTGATGTTGATCTGTTTAGGTTTCCTATATCTTTTTGGTCCAATTTGGATAGGTCAGATGTGTCTAGAAATTTATTGCTGTCTTCTAGAATTTCCAAATTATTGGAATATAAGTTTTCAAAATAGTCCCTAATAAACCTGTGGATTTCAGGAATGTCTTTAAGGGTACTTCCTCTTTTATCTCTAATTTTGTTGTTGATTTAGGTTTTCTTTCTCTTTCGTATGGTTAGTTTGACTAAGGATTTATCAATTTTGTTTATCTTTTCAAAGAACCAACTCTTTGTTACATTAATCCTTTATTTTTTATTCTCATTTCCATTAATTTCAGCTATGATCTTAATTGTTTCCTATCTTCCACTGGTTTTGCAATTTTTTCCTGCTTTTCTAGGGCACTTAATGCTATGAACTTTCTTCTTCAAACTGCCTTTATAGTATCCCAGATGTTTGTATATTATATCATTATTCTTATTTGATTCTAGGAATTTTAAAATTTCTCCTTGCATTTCTTCTATGATCCAGTCCTCATTCAAAATAATATTGTTCAATCTCCATGTGTTTATGTGGTTTCTATAATTTTTCTTGTTGTTGATTTTTTCATTTCATTCCATTATGTTCTGATAAAATGCAAGGGATTACACTGATTCTTTTGTATTTGTTTAAAAAATTATGGAATGCTTCACAAATTTGCCTGCCATCCTAGCATAGGGGCCATGCTAATTTTCTCTGTATCATTTCAATTTTAGTATATGTGCTGCCAAATCGAACAGTTAATTGCCATTTAGATGCAGATACTGTAGGGAGCCTTGTCTAGGCTAAACTATATACCATCTGGCTTGGCACTGTTAGTATTCTCCCCTTTCTTCTTCCCCAATTCCCCCAAATCATAGTGATCTGCTCTTGGATCCCTGAGGCTGGATCAGGGTAGGGCTGGTCCTTGAGGTGGGAAGTAGGACAACTGGCTTATTGCTTATTAGAGTCCACTAGGCATTGTAAAGGAACATTTGTCATACTAATAGCCCTGGAATGTGAGCTGAAAATTTTCAACTTGTTGCAAAATAAAAATATGAGAGAAGTCCTAAGAACTTAAAGCAAACAGTAAATGCCAGTGATGCATGATGCCCCTGATTATTTAAGCCACTAGACCAGAGACTATATTAATAAGATAGCACAGATCATAAATCTGTGACCAAAATAGTATGTGGAAGCCCTTTTGGAGGTGAAAACAGATTGGGCAGCAAATGGTCAGAGTTGGATGAAGATTAAAATACTATCTGAGACATTTGATAAGACATGACACAAAAAAATACACTTTAGCTGGGCACGGGGGTGTATGCCTGTAATTCCAGCAGCTTGGGAGCCTAAGGCAGGAGGATCACAAGTTCAAAGCCAGCCTCAGCAAAAAAAAAAAAAAAAAAAAAGGTGCTAAGTAACTCAGTGAGACTCTGTCTCTAAATAAAATACAAAATTGGGCTTGGGATGTGGTTCTGTGGTTGAGTGTCCCTGAGTTCAATCCCTGGTGCCCCCCTCCCCCACAAATTGTGAATTTCATGGATTTGCTAATTTGGTCAACAAGAGCTAATTTACTCTTAATCTTAAGTGTGATAACAATGCTTTGCTTATAGTAGGTGCCTAATAAATAATTACTTAATGAATAATTAATGATTGAATTGATTTTATGACCAGTAAGTAAAAATCCCTCTAAAACGAAAGTCAAGAGTAATTTTATACAATTCATATTATTTAAACTCAGCTAGATCATGGAATATCTGAATTATTCAGATGTTGTAACTCTAGATAGGAATTTAAGGAAAGATGTATTCTCCTTAAAAAATGTTAAGAAATGACAACTATCTAAAAATATTCTGTTATTTGACCCTGTGATAGCTCAGTTTAAAAAAAGTCTGCCTTTTGTTATCTTACCACTGATATTGTTTGAAAGCAATCCCACTGGCCAATTTTGGCCCACTCCCTGTTTTTGTAAATCGTGTATTATTGGAACACAGTCAGGCTCATTTGTTGATATATTGTCTATGACCACTTTTGCTCTGCAACATCAGAGTTGAACAGTTTATGACAGAGATCATATATCCTGCACTGCCTAAAATATTCACTTGGTCCTTTATTGTAAAAGCTAGCCAATTTCTTGGTGAAAAATATTCCTTAATTTATCAAGTGTTACCAATTACTATGAAATAGACTTGTTTTTTGAGCCTTTACTGTAAAGGACTCTGTTGAATAGGTTGTTGGAATTAGCTGGCCTCACCTTTTTTTTTTTCATTGTGTACATATGCAACCCAATGAAGCTAAGAAGTAACCATGATTTAAATTTCAGTTCTCAGAAATAGTTGAGAACAGTTTCTTTTTTTTTTCTTGCAGCACCTTGTGAATACTAGGCAAATATTCTGCCATTGAACAATGACCCCAACCCAATTCTCAGCAATTCAAATAAAGTCATGTTACATTTATGGAAGGAGTCTACTTATTTTTATGGTATATCTCAATGGCATGGACTCTGAATAGTCCATAAAAATAGTCTGCATAAAAGCATTCATCGACTTTTGCTATCTTTCAATGCCCTGAGTAAAACTCCCCAAGAGGAAAGGGATTTTATAAGAGCATAAACCTACAAAGACCTGGTGAATAGGAAGGTTGAAAGAAACAACATTCTGAAAGCTGAAAAGTAGGTGGATGAGTTGTAAATGGTTTGGTAGATCTGAAAATACAAATAGGAATTTAAGTCAATAATAGGGAAAACTGAGTTCCCCAAAAGCTCAGAAATTGGTGTTCCTTGTACTTGTATAAATGGGAGGAATGCTAAAATGAGGTTCAATCTGAAATCTGATTAAGAAACAGTTTGATCCCAGATCCCCTCCCACACACATACCCTGTCGTAGGGTGAATGCCACTCCTGAGCTCAGGGAAATGATAGGTTATTAATTCTCTGACTAGGGTGAAATAGAGTGCACCTGGACTAGAGGATACCTGGCATCCACAAGGACATGATACTAAACTGAGAACAGGTAAATTAAGTAAACAGATGCATACTAAATGTTAAGAACCTCAGCCCTTAGCCCTCTATGTGTGACCACAATGCTGGCAGTCAGGCCTTTACTCAAAATGGTTTTCTGTAAAGGGAATATGACCAGCCCAAGAGGAGAGACCCCCAAAGTGACTGAAATCAATCTGAAGGGGGGATTCTCAGTGAAACAGTCCAATGAGTCAACAGGCCCCATCACTCTAGGGCTCAGAATTCTGATCAACTCTTTTGTCCCTTACTTTTATTTTAAGTTTTTTTTAAAAATATATATATATATTTAGTTGTAGCTGGACTACAATGCTATTTATTTATTTATTTATTTATTTACATAGTTCTGAGAATCGAACCCAGTGCCTCACACATGCTAGGTGAGTGCTCTACCACTGAGCTACAGCCCTAGCTCTGATCCATACTTTTAAATATGAATGGGTAACCATGAATTTCCAGACATCTGGTAAAACCCTAATATGAAAGAGAGTAAAACAAACAGAAGAAGGCAATTTGGAAGGAACAGACTCAACAGGGAGAAGAAAATGTCAAATCATTAATATCCAGGAGGTGGGGGCAAGAGGGGAACACCAATGAGCACAAGGGAAGGGGCTATTAGAAAAGACAATGCCAGGGCCAGGGTCAGTGATAGAGCACTTGCATAGTATGGCTGAGGCCCTGGGTTCAATCCCCAGTCTGTCTGTCTATCTGTCTGTCTGTCTCTCTCTCTTACACACACACACACACACACACACACACACACACACACACACACAGGCACGTACGCGCGCGCAACAATGCTGGAGAACACAATAGAGCTCTAGGAAACCAAAACAATTATAAGATAAATTAAGAATCTAATGGGGTGGGTGCTGTAGCTCAGTGGTAGAGCGTTTGCCTGGCACGTGGGAGGGCCTGGGTTCAATCCTCAGCACCACATAAAAATAAATAATTAGGTTAAAAAAAAGAATCTAATGCGGGGTGAGGGTTGAGGGGGAAATAAGAGTTGAAGAAATTTCTCAGGAAGTAGAATAAAAAGAAAATAAATAAGAACTAAAAGTGAAATACAAAGGGGTCTAATATCAGAATAATGAATGTTCCAGCAAACCAGAGAGACAATGGAAGAATATGTAATCAATAATTTCGAAAGTCAAGGAAATTTCTCAGAGCTGAAGCACATGGCTTGGCAAATAAAGAGGCTTTGAGTGCTTAGACTAAGTAATAAAAATATACCTATACCAAGGTATGAAATCTCAGGCCACAAGAGACTGAGAGACAACTGTATAAGCTTCTAGAGTAAAAATTATGAGAATTTCATAAAAAGAGTCAGAAATCATGATGACATTATATTTCTCAACGGCTACACTGAAAGCTAGAAGACCAGAGCAAGGCTGTTAAAATTCTGAAGGAAACTAATATCAGGGGCTAGAGTTGTGGCTCAGTGGTAGAGTGCTTGCCTAGCATGTGTGAGGCATTGTGTTCGATTCTCAGCACCGCGTATAAACAAATAAAATAAAGGTCCATTGACAACTAAAAAATAAAAAGAAAATAATATCAGTCCTAGTACTCGGCACCCAGACTATGAATAAAATCAAAGGGATGAAAATGTACTTTACAACATACAAGATTTTAGAAAATCTCTCTAGTCTTTTATCATTCTTTCTCAGAAAGCCATTGGAGGGAGGATGGTCTTCACAATAGGGGAGTAAAACAAAGAAGAAAGCATTGTTTAAGCCGATCCGTGGCTCCTGTGATTTTCAGGGCCTCTATTTTTGTCATTGCACTAAAATCGATCTCGTCCTCCATCCCTTTTGTCTAGAACTATGCTTCATAAACATTGATATGAACATTAATAAGTCAGAATCTTGTAAAAGTGCAGATTCTTATTCAGTGTGTCTGGAATAGGGCCTGGGAATCTGCATTTTAAGGTCTCTCAGATGCTAGCGCCACTGATATGCAGACTGGACTTTGAATTACAAGGGGCTAATTACTCAGGACTAATGAAATAGCCTAAATGGTCTCTTTTCCAGCAGTGCCACTCTTACACTCTCTTCTCCTCCAGCTACTAGAATAAATTTCCAGAGACAAGGCTTTGATTGTGATTTGAGATGTTTCATCTCTATGTTGTACACTGAAGCAAAGTGACTTCCTTAGTGCTATTTGCATCATACTAATTTTTATTTTTTTCATTGCACTAAAACCGTGTCTAACCTAAACTTTATCATTGAAATGAGTTTTTAAAATATTAATATTTCTTTATATTCAAGATTGATAATTGATCCCTTAATATCCATTGGCATTTGTTTCATTTCTGCATGCTTTTGCTTCCAAATTCTCATTCAATTTTTTTTCCATATATTTCTATTATTTTTTCTATTATTTGAATTGTATCTGGAATGAGTTAAATCTCTATCATTACATCTCTGTGTTTTTCTTAGTATACCTCTTTTAATGTTTGGCATTTTGGTTTACAAACTAATCTTGGGCTCTCTCTCTCTCTCTCTCTCTCTCTCTCTCTCTCTATCTATCTATCTCTCTCTCTCTCTCTGTGTGTGTGTGTGTGTGTGTTTGCTTATCATCTCCCAGACTAGCAGTGATAGTACTATATTGCAAATCACATTGCTTAGTTCAGTTCTCTAACAGGTAATATCCCCAGAAAGGTAGCAACTATTGCAAAAAATTATTTCAATCTTGATTCACAAGTAGGGGAGATGGTTAGGTAAGGAAAGCTGGTTATCTATTGCTGTAAAACTGCCATAAAACTGAATGTTACTGGGCACACTGGTACACACCTATAATCCCAGTGCCTGGGGAGGCTGAGACAGGAGGATCGCAAGTTCAAAATCAGCCTCAGCAATGGTGAGGCGCTAAGCATCTCAGTGGGACCCTGTCTCTAATAAAATACAAAATAGGGTTTGGGATGTGGCTCTCAAAATCATTGCTCATTTGGTGCAGAAAAAAAAATAACTGAGTGCCTTGAGACAACAATGATTTATTAATTTATATAATTCTGTGGGTTGATCCATATAGCATAGGCTGAAGTCACTCCATTGGTTACATTAAGCTGGGAACTCACTGCTGGAATGGTCGAGATGACCTCTCATTCTTCAAGGTGACTCTTTCCATGTGGCTTTCCATCACTGAAGATCTTGCCTCAGCTTTTTCACAACATAGCCATTGGCTTTCAAGAGAAAAGTTTCCAACAGGACATAAACCAGTTCATGAACACCTATTAAGCCTCTGTGGTATCTCATTTATTGATGTCTCATTGCCAAGCAAATCATATGGCCAAACCTCAAGAGTCAATGTGGGAGGGGATTACACAAGGGTGCCCATATTGGCAAGTGGCTTATTGAATGTCACTAATACAACAGTCTCTCACCAGGCTGGTTCATGTCTCTAGTCACATGTGGAGTCCTATTAGTCTCTACTATTCTATAGGAGCTAACCCTTGGTTTATGTCTTCCTGTTGCCATATACACAGAGTCTGGGACCTATCTGACTTTGGTCCTGATCACCCTTTTGCATTTTGGTTCTTTTTCTGATACAAGGAAAAATTTATCCTCTTTTTAAAAAATCACAGCTGAAACTTGTGCTTTCCTCATTTATTTTGTATTTCTTCTCATTTTTCTGTTTGAACCAGAATGAGTGATGAGTCTTGGAATATTAATTGAAAAATGTCATATTGTCTGGAAGTCTGGATCAACAACAAGTCCATTTTCCTTGGTAAGATCCTCTATCAGTTTGCTCTAACTTTCACTGAATATGTCACTCTTTTCTTATCCACATCCCTTTCCCATCTCTTTCCTGTGTAATTTTACAACAGTGTTCACTGAACAGTCAGTACCTGTTTTTGTCTCTTGTTCATTTTGTTCTTGAAATGGTCTTGCTCTCAAGAGTTGCACAGACACCCTCTATTTACTCTTCTAGCTAAATTTTCACAGACAGAAATACTCTCTCTCTCTGAAATCCCTGTATTTTCCTTGTATTTTTCTTATGGCACTTGTGAGTTCCTATTGCAAAAAATTATTTCAATCTTGATTCACAAGTAGGGGAGATGGTTAGGTAAGGAAAGCTGGTTATCTATTGCTGTAAAACTGCCATAAAACTGAGTGTCACTGGGCACACTGTGACACTTTAACTCCATCTTGATTCCTTGGGAGTTATGTTCATGCCAGATACTCTCTGCATTGTGCTTTGCACATATATAGCAATTTCTCAATACATGTTTGTTGCCTTCCCTCTCCAAAATTATCTAAGGCATCTAATTTACACATGAATGGGAATATGACATCCACATTTATTTTACATCTTTTCCATTTTAGGTCATTTAATTCTGTAGCTGGTACTGATTGCCTTTATGTTTTATTAAGTATAATCAGAATACAGTGCATGTAAGTAATTTGGTCTAATTTTGGTGGTTTCTAAGAAAATTCTCTAAAGGCGTACTTTGAGTTCATACATTAGGCTGAACACTGTAGTTAGAATCATCTCTAGATTTATATTTTAACCCTCCTACTGCAACTTTCTTTTGACTTTTAGAAAATAGTTTTAAATGGGTATTGTTGCTTAATATTTAACTGACTATAAGTGGTGTCATGTGTCCATATGAGATTGTAAATTCTTGAGAAGTGGAATCACTATTTATTTACCTTTATTTTGTTTTGTTTTGTTTAATCAAGAATTGAATCCAGGGGCGCTTAACCATTGAGCCACATCTCCAAGCTCCCCCCCCCTTTTCTTTTAAATTTTGAGACAGGATCTTACTAAGTTGCTTAAAGCCTAGCTAAATGCTAAGGCTGTCTTTGAAATTGCCATCCTCCTGCCTTAGCCTTCTGAGCTGCTGGGATTACAGGCATGTGCCACCATATTTTCCTTTTAATGCTCAGTGCCTAGGACAGGCTAGAACATGTCAGTGTTCAATGCCAAAGTACTAACAAAATACAAAAGTGGGGCTGGAGTTGTAGCTCAGTGGTAGAGAGCTTGCCTAGCATGTGTGAGGCACTGGGTTCCATTCTCAGCACCACATAAAAATAAATAAATTAATTAAATAAAATAAAGGTATTGTGTCCATCTACAACTAATATATATATATATATTTGTTATATATATATATTTGTTATATATATATATATATATATATATATGTATATATATGAGAGTATTTAATTATCTCTGGAGGCTTGGGGAGACCATCAGAAAAAAGGTGAAATCTTAAGGGGTGAATAGGCTTATTCCAGGTTTAGAAGGGAAGCCATCGTGGTGGTAATGATGGTACTCAAAAAGGAATTTGTTCTTGTTTGAAAGTACAGGCATGGCAGGGCTGGGGAACTCCAAGTGCCAACTGTGAAGGGTGGGTGACCCTCAGATTACTCCTACTGATTCTATTAGTCCTTTGGCTAAGCACCAGCATAACCAGTTGAACCTGTTTGAGTGGGAGTCCTCAGATGCCGTTCCCGCTACTGTGAACAGTTGTCTGATAAAATGTAAGTTAAGCAGTTGAATCAGAACTTTATTAAATAAACACTGTTATTTTTTTAGTGAAGCCTCCTGTATTTGGGACAAACTTGTATGAAAAATTATCTCAAATTCAAAGTTGGCATTTTTATTTGTTTTGATCTGCTCTTTTTGTGTCTTTTTATTAGTTGCATCTGGTAATTCTGCCAGTAAGGTTCTGCTGTGGCGCCAATGATTACAAACAAAATGCCACCATGACCCTGGCTTTCGTAGCCTTCTCTCCGGAGTCTCTCCAATCGGAAGCGAGCAAGGAGAAAACAGGCTTCCTGAAAAGAGACGCTGTAACTAGGCAACCAGGATAGGCACTCACCCAATCTTCTGCAGCATCTAGAAGACGTGCGCACGCGCTAGCCGACGCGACCTCTCGCGCTGAAGGGTGGGGACGACTGAACGTCGCTCTTTCACGTGACTTCGGTGCCTCCTTGTGATTGGATGCCTCGGGGGCGCGGCTCTCGGGCGCGGACGCTCCGGATTGGTGTTTCGGAGCAGTGGGGCGGAACCCCGGCTACAGCCGCGGGAGGTCCGGACACCGGCGGCCATGGGACTCGCCGGTAAGTGCGCATCTGCCCCTCTCCCCTCCCGCACTCTGGGCCACTTCTGGTCGGCGCTGTGCTGTACCTGCTGGGGTGGGGCAGGCTATGTAAGGGATGAAGCTGGTCGGGCTTCAGGCCCGGAAGTCGGGTCTAAGGGTCTCCGGAGTCGAGTGGGGTTGAGGAAGCGTTGAAGGCTGGAGCCGGTTCGTTGGCTAAGGCTGGTGGGGCGAGGGACTGGGGACGGCGGGAGTCTGGGCCTTAGACCCCTGCACATACTCTGGCCATTTTCCTCCTCCCTTTGGGCCTAATCAGACTGTGCCTGACCCCGCCAGGTCGCGGACTGAACGGGGGCACTCCCTCCTTGGCCCTAGCACTCCCTAGCCACCTCTCGGAGTGGAGCCAGGCTATCTGTGAAGTACCTTCCCCTTGATCCCCAACCGCCTCCAGGTCTCTCCGAGGCTCCCCATGAGCCTCCACTACTAATGATTGCTTGGGGCTTGTTGGCTATGTCGAGAATTTTAAGGTCTTCTTGAGTTTTCCAGTTTAAGTGGCTGGGTGGAGACTTTGGAGAAATTGCTCAACTTGTGTTTGTACAACTTCTCATCTGTAATTTGAGAGAGAAATAAGTCGTATCTCTAAGCCTCTCTTCAGCTTTAAATTCGAAGATTCTCAGATTCTGTTGTATATTGAATGTTGATGTCCTGATGGTGGGCAGAATCCTCAGAACATTTCAGATCAATGACAAAATTTTAAATAATTTCATTTGGCTCATTACGCACTGTTCATTATCATTCATCTTTTGAAACTGAATAGAACTGGAAGTTCAGGTTTAAGTGACAAATCACAGTAACACAATATTAGTTAAACCACTTCAAAGTGTTAACTTGAGGAATCTCAATATTTGATAATGTTGAATCTTTAGAAATTCAGTTCAGCAGACACTGCTGGAGTATTTCTGAGAGCATATTTAAAATGTAGATAAGGGCTGGGGCTGTAGCTCAGTGGTAGAGCGCTTGCCTCACATGTGGAAGGCATTGGGTTCAATCCTCAGCACCACATAAAAATAAAACATCACATAAAAATAAAATAAAGGTATTGTGTCCATCTACAACTAAAAAAATTTTAAAAAATGTAGATGAGTTTATTGGAGAGAATTGATGTTAAGACTTTGCACACATAGTTAATTTGTATTTTCTGAGTTTGCAGGTGAAATCTGCAACTCAGATTAAGGATGGCTTCCCATTGTATAGTTGAGGTTTCTGGAGCCCTGGGCATCTTCATTTGTAAGCTAAGGAAGATTTTTAACTACATCTCTAAGATTCTTTAGCTATAAAAGTCTAAGAATCTGGGGCTTGGGATATTGGCTCAGTTGGTAGAGTGCTTGCCTTGCATACACAAGGCCCTGGGTTCATTCCCCAGCACCACAAAAATAAATAAATAAATAAAATCTCTCTTTCTGTTTGATGTGGAACATTCATTAAAAAAAAAAAAGTCTAAGAGTCTGTAGTAATATTGAATGAGCATTTCACATTGATATGGCTTTAGGGGATCCCTGAGATATACATTTCTCACTTTAGATATAGGAACTGACTGGAGATGGAGACTGTCTCTACTTTGGCCTTATTTTCAGACTCCACATTGAAAGGAGAGCACTCAGGGAAGAAGGGCCTACATAAAGAAAGTTTAAGAAAAAAATGAAGGGAGCAGTTTGATTATCACCATCCTTGAATAAGGAAGGAGAAAATATGGATTTTCCACAGCATGAACTCCAGGTGACATTTGAAAAGGTGCTATCTAGTTCCAGATATATTTTAACATAAACCACAGAGCCAATACCAGCAGAAATTTATGAGCTGAATTGAATCAGTGGCTAAGCTCTAGAGCAGGAATCAGCAAACTTTCTGTAAAGAGCCAGATGGTAAATATTTTAGGCTCTTTGGGTCATATGGTCTCTGTGGCAGATAGTCTGCTGTTGTAGCACAAAAGTAGCCATTCACATAAATGAATGAGTGAGTCTGTGTTCCCATTAAACTTTTTACTTACAAAACCAGGCAGTAGACCAGAATAATTAGATTTGAATTCTGGGCTGTTTTAATCATCCTTTCTCCCTAAAACTTAGTGGTGTAAAACAGCAACCATTTTGCAGTTTTTCATGATTCTGTAGTCTACTAGGTATGGCTAATGGTATTTCTGGTCTTGCCAGTGGCCACCAGGGAGGCTGTATTTAACTAGCAGTTTGGTGAGAGAATGGGTCCAGATAACATGAGCATGGCTGGGCCTCTGGCTCTCTCCATGTAGTCTGAGAGCTGGTCCCTCTTCATATTGTCTCCCCCATGTCTCTGTAGCGCAATAGCTAAACTTCTTATATGGTAGTTTAGGGTAGTAAGAGTGCATAACTGGAAGCCACAGGGCCTTTTTCAAGCTGAGGTCAAAAATTCGCATACCACTTCTCTTGTGTCCTGTGAATTAAACCTGATCCAAATGCAAGGTGTAGGTGGGATCACCAGTGAAGCACATTATGCTGCCTCTAAGGAGCTGAGTGATCTTGGACAGATTCCTTAACCTCCCTTAAGCTTTAGATTTTCCATTTATAAAATAGAGTTGATACCTTATAGGGTTTTGGTGAAGCTACAAACAAGATGCAGAAAACTCTTAGCACATAGTTCCTATTGTATAGTGGCCATTTAATAAGTAGAAGCTGGTAAAGTGATAACAGTAGAGGAAAATATGCACATGTGTATATATATGTATGTATGTGATGTGTGTGTATGTGATTATTGAAAACAACTGGTTTGATGGTGTTGCAAACCATTATGTACTGTGGTGTAACAAACTCATTTAGAATCATGAATAGCAATGACTTTTTAAAAATTATTTTATTTATTCTTTTTAGATATACATGACAGTAGAGTGTACTTTGACATATGTACATGGAGTATAATTCTAATTAGGATCCCATTCTTATGGTTGTATAAAGATGTGGAGTTAACACTGGTTGTGTATTTATATATAAGGATAGGAAAGTTATGTATAATTCATTCTACTGTCTTTCCTATTAGCATCCCCCTCCCTTCCCTTCATTCCTCTTTGTCTAATCCATGAACTTTTAATCTTCCCCTCCCTATCCTCTCTGTTTCTGGGTTAGCATCCACATATCAGAGAACATTTGGCCTTTGTTCTTTGGGATTGATTTATTTCGCTTAGCACAATATTCTCCAGCTCCATCCATTTACTAGCAAATGCCATAATTTCATTCTTCAAGGCTGAGTAATATTCCCTTGTGTATATATAACACATTTTCTTTATCTATTCATCTGTTGTAGGGCACCTAGGTTGGTTCCATAGCTTGGCTATTGTGAATTGAGTGAGTAGCAATGACTTTTAGAGCAAAATAAAGACACTAGCAGAATCAAGATGTTGCAGAATGTAGTTTTCTTGTATGGCACCTAGTAAAAGTTAAGCGAGTAAATGTTGTCAAGTGAGTAAATTCATTATATGCTTTGTTTTTATGTCTAGGGGAAAAGCTAACAAATTTACGTTAACATTAAAACTACTTTCTAACAGGATTTGGAATATGGAATGTGTTGTGTCTCTAAGCTGAGATTCTGTTTTGCTCTTTTTCAGGTAACAGGATACATAACTGGGTTGCTCTTAAGAACTGATGCCTAAATCACCTCAGCATGGCCTGTAGTGGAGGAGGTGGGCATGGCCAGCCTTCCTCAGCTATACTCTCCCCGGTTACCCCTGGAAGTCTTTCCACTTCTAGAACCCGTGCCCATAGCATATGCATGGTGTCTGACTTTTTCTACCCAAACATGGGAGGCGTGGAGAGCCATATTTACCAGCTCTCTCAGTGCCTGATTGAAAGAGGGCACAAGGTCATAATTGTCACCCATGCTTACGGAAATCGAAAAGGCATCCGTTACCTCACTAATGGCCTCAAAGTCTATTACTTGCCTCTGAAAGTCATGTACAACCAATCTACAGCCACGACCCTCTTTCACAGTCTGCCATTGCTCAGGTACATATTTGTTCGGGAGAGAGTCACCATAATCCATTCCCATAGTTCTTTTTCTGCCATGGCCCATGATGCTCTCTTCCACGCCAAGACAATGGGGCTCCAGACAGTCTTCACGGACCATTCCCTTTTTGGATTTGCTGATGTCAGCTCGGTGCTTACAAACAAGCTTCTAACTGTATCTCTTTGTGACACAAACCACATCATTTGTGTCTCTTATACTAGTAAGGAAAATACTGTATTAAGAGCAGCACTGAATCCTGAAATAGTGTCCGTCATTCCTAATGCAGTAGATCCTACTGACTTCACTCCAGACCCATTTAGGAGGCATGATAGTGTAATAACTATTGTTGTTGTCAGCAGACTTGTTTACAGAAAAGGTAATGAAATGATAGCTATATTTGCATTGCAGTCTTTTTTCCTTATAGAAAGCTGTTGAATACTTGTGTGTGTATATATATATATGATGATTGTTTGGTTTTTCATTTTGTTTAATGGTTTTATAATTACTTCTGCATTAACCAGAGTAAAGAAAGCTCTGAAGTTGGTTTACATATCCAAGGAGAGAAATTTTTAGAATGGTAATGAATGCTGCCCCCAGCCTTTGATGTTTTAATGGTTGATGAAAGATAAAAACAATAACCTGATGCTGTGTCATCACTAAGATCTTTTACAAAATTAAAATAGCCCTGCACATGTGGTAAGAAGTAAAGGATTCAACCCACCACATGGCCATTTCTTTCTGATTGTAAAGGTAATATATTTTCATTGCAGATGTTTTAAAAGCTAAGAAAAGCACAAAGATGAAAACTAAAATCAGGGGTATTGGTGTTATTCAGAGATGACCCTAATGGACATTTTGATTTATAATTAACTGTCCTTTTTATGCCTATGTCCATATGCTCAATATGAATGGGCCTGTTTGGCACACTACTGTTTTATAACTTGCTTATTTGATCTAATCATATATGAGACATTGATAATATTGGCAGGTAAGTGGTGAAGAAGAGAGGATTCGATGGCCCAAGGTTAGAGCCTGGTTCTATCCTATTGTATGATTAAGGGCAAGTTATTTAACATCTCTAAGTTTGTTTTTTCATTTGTTTAAGCAACGGTGGGAACTTTGTGAAAGTTCACTAATGGTTCCTATAAGTCCTTAGCCCAGGTTGTACTTGATAAATGTCCAGGAATATCAAGGTTTTTTTTTTTTTTTTTTTTTTTTTTTTTAGTGCAGCACTCATAGACGCCACTAAAGCATTTGTGGAAACTCATTTACCAAAATCTGAAATAGTCTGATTATTAAAAACATAGAGCCAGGTGCAATGGTGCACATCTGTAGTCCCAGCAGCTCCAGAGGCTAAGGCAGGAGGATCTCAGGTTCAAAGCCAGCCTCAGTTCAAAGCCAACTCAGCAACTCCCTAGTAACTTAGTGAGACCCTGTCTCAAAATAATAGGGCTGGGGATGTGGCTCAGTGGTTAAGCACCTCTGGGTTTGAACCCTGGTACCAAAAATAAAAATAAATAAAAACAGAGAGAGTTACGAATGCTATTTATGAACCTAATAATCACTTATTTACTTTCTTGAAATATTTGAACTTAATTCAAAATATTAACCACACTGATTAGTGAGTAGTTTGATGTAGAGCTGCTGGCTTCAGGTACTAGTACACTGATTTCAGTGGCTTCATCTTGCACAGTCACCTTCACAAAGCACAATCTACCATTGCTACTTTGGGCTTCTTTTAAGTGGGGTGAAAACCTAAAGGTGCATGAAGTGATGTTCTCCTGGACTTTTAAAATTTGCTTTCAGTTTTACACAGTGGTTTAAACATTTGTTTCTCATCTGACAAGAACTTAGTTCTATGACTTTTCTTTATTGGATTTTTCAACCATTCAGCTTAGTTTTCATAGAAACTTATATTGTCATTTTATGTGATGCTTAATTAAATTAACCAGTATAGTGACAAGTACAACTGGCATTACACAGATTTGTGAACAGATGCAGCAGGTTTTGGGTAAGCAAGAAACTTAGCAGTGTACCAGTGTACTAGGGAGTGGCCCAAAACCTAGATATAGTCCCTGGTTGGTATAGTTCACTTTTGGAATGGGAAGCTTAAGTCCACTTAAGGGAGACTGGTAAAAGAAACTTAAACTAAACCATATTTTTCTGGGGCCAAGGCAACAGTATGCTTCTATTCTTTATCTGAGAAGATATGAATGCGGCTGGGGGTGTAGCTCAGTGTAGCTCAAATAGAGCACTTTGCCTAGCATGTGCAAGGCTCTGGGTTCAATCCCCAGCACCAGAAAAATTAAAAATTAAGAAGAAGATATGAATGGACTTGTATTTTATTCTGAATCTCTTGGGATATTGGTGACGTGTTTGCTGTAACTTAGAAAATATGCTTAATTTATTTTCTAATCAAATAGTATACTTTTGTGAGGTAGCTGAGTATGAGGCATATGTGATTAAGGGTCAGCAAAATTAACTACTCATCCAAAGGTTAAACCTATCACCTTTACTTCACTATTGTGATGTTTTGACCAGCTGAGCTAACCACCAACAGAGTGAAGGTACAGCTTCTCCTGTTTAATACTCAACAAATATTTATCGAAGTCTTTCCATATGTCAGGCACCTTGCAAATAGTGGCATTCTGAGAAGGAATGGCCACATTTGTAATCCAAAACTGAGTAGTCATATTAATGGTCCATTCCTTATTAACAAATTAATTTCTTCAGGAGATGTCTATTGTACCAGCTATCAAAAGCATAATGGAGTGGATTAAGTAAGAGAGGCTAAGTTCAAATTTTCTTTGCCCAGATTTCCTGGTTGACTTCTGAGCCCTGTTTTGCTCTCTGGCAAGGTTTCCCCATGCTCTGTGTGTGTGCAGGCACACCCCATTTCCTCCTATAGTGGTAATGACAACCTACCATTTGTATTCTGCAGTTCATAAAGCCTGTGCATGGTACAGTACCTCACTTGACCCTCCCAACAACTGTAGGGTAGATGTTATCTGCATGTAACAGACAAAGAAACTGAGTCTCAGAGAGGGTAAGTAACTCACCCAGGTTACACAGTAAGTAACAGACATGATAAATGTGAGTCCAGCTCTTCTCGAGTTAAGGCCTCTTGTTCCCTTACTCCCAGCCTGGTCACCATTATCCTAGGATAGATCAGAAAATGCTTTAAAATATTGTTAGACTGAGCTTTTAAAGAAGTTTGAATTGAGAATTTTTCTTGTCTTTTTGAGTATAGCAATTGAAAGTCTCTTTGTCCGTTCCTTTGTGTTAGACTCTTCTTAGAGGCACCAGAAATGATTTTTTTTTATAGTGAGGAAATAAACCCTTTATTCTGATAACTATTATAGAGCACTGATAGTATTAACCAGTCTCATTTTTTGTAAAGTGATTGTCAGGATGAAATGACAATGCATTTAAAGTACATTGCCTGACATAGGAAGCATTCGGTAAATGTTAAAAATTATCAGCAGTTATGATTATTGCTCTATTTTTATTTGAAGAGTAAACTCTTGTATTTGAAAGGGGGGAAAGAGAGAAAAGAAAGGAAATGAAGGAATCATAGAAGACTAAATGTTATTTAGCCACCTTTTGCTTTATCTAGAAATTCAGTTGATGGATTTGATAATGGACTTGAAACAAAGATAGCTAAGATTTTTAATGAGAACCCTTTATTAATTCAGAAAAAATACATGGGAATTTATTTTTGATATACGCCATCCTCTTTTGAAAATACCAGCAGAGTTTCTTTAATGAATCCTACTTTGCATTACTTAATGAAAATGACCTTATATGTGTCATTTCTCCCAGCATCTGTTTATAATTGATCTGCCTGTTTGTGGGTAGATGAACATAAGAAATGAATTCATGGATGTAAATAACCAAATAGTAGCAACATTGCTATGGCTTTCAATAGCCCCTTACTTTTTCAGACTATAGGTCATGATTTACTTTATTACTTTATATTACATGAGGTTGTGGTTACAGATTATCAGAAAATATTTTTTTAAAAGGAATCAAGATGCATTTTTTTGTTCTGTGGACTGTAAAGATCTAACAGTTGAGGTCCAACTACCCTCATTTACTCCCATTCTGGGAAAGTGGGCTATAGCTGGTTCGGGTGGACTTTTTAAAATTCTGCTAACACTGTAGGGTTCATTACAAAATCCTTTGTACAAACTGTTTTGAGCAAAGTGCAGGGAGTAATTAGACTTTGTTGCTTAGTCCTTTCCTGTGGCAGGAAGTGGAATTATAGACTGATAGAATTTTATAGCTGAAAGAGACCTTGGTCTTTAGGTACATAGTTCCCTTCAATTAATAGATCAGGAGACTGCCATGATCAAAGGGCTCGCTGGTTAAAAACAACAACAACAAAAATACAGCAGAGGCAAGACCTAGATCTCCTGTTAGTCATTCTGCTGTGGAGAAAGCTAACTCAAATCTTAACCACCTTAAATACCACTTAACGTGGATAAGTAAATAACTTATAGTATGTTGAAACAGGATTAATTGTCCATATTTTGGGTGTGTGGAAGGTAACAATGGATGTCAGGGTCTTTGTCTTCAAGAATTGCAACTCTTGAGGACTCCTGGGAATTTATGAAGCATTCTACTCTTGGGAGATTTGGTATCTCCAAGTGAGTGGATTCTCAGTAGTTCTGATGATTTTTAAAGTTTAAATATTAATATATCTAACATTCATCTTTATTTTATATTTTCAGGAACCGATTTGCTTAGTGGCATAATACCTGAACTCTGTCAGAAATATCCAGATTTAAATTTCATAATTGGAGGAGAGGGACCAAAGAGAATCATTTTGGAAGAAGTACGAGAAAGATACCAGCTACATGACAGGTACTGATGGCTTCCATAGTGTTGTGGGTGAGAAGATATCAGCTATCCATTTTGGTTTTGACTAGATGTCTGTTTTAGATGTGCTGCTTCTCCTGCGTGTAATTGATATAAAAATGTAGTATAAGTCCTGTTTTTAAAAGAATTTACATAAAGTGAGAAAATGAGAATTCAGTTTTATTTTTTCTATTAGTCCAATATTATGTGACTTTGGGGGACAGTTGTTGGAGGCACTGTGGAAGGCACACACCCACACACAAAAATAACCACTTTGGAAATATTTGTAGATTTCTGAGCCATATTTTGTTGTGATTTAAATAACATGGCACTGGCTAGGCATGTAGCTCCTTGGTAGAGCACTTGCCTAGCATGCACAAGGCCCTGGGTTCAGTCCCCAGCAGTGGAAAAAAATAACATGGCCCAAATCATGTAAATTGCTCTGCACACATAGGTTCAGACAGGTATTTTCTTCAGTAACTTTGATAACACACAATATGTGTATGTATGAAACATTTTTTTGGGGGGGGGTGTGCTGGGAATTGAACCCAGGGCCTTGTGCATGCAAGGCAAGCACCCTACCAACTGAGCTATATCCCCAGCCCCTGAAACAGCAATTTTGAGAAGGCCATTTTCCTGTTAGAAATGAGGAAATATTCAATCACCAAAGTGTATTAATATTTTTATTAAATGCAAGTTAGTTTTGGAGAAGATGAAATTTGGTATACATAACAAAAGTTAGAAATATGTAGTTATATGAGTTGTAACTCAACGGCTTTATAAGGCTTTCTTTTAGATCATTGTTTGATGATATTGGTTTTTAGAGGTGGTAAACATTACAATAAAAGAATCTAAGTGTAATATAAATAGCTAACTTAGCTTAGAAATTAAATTTCTTTTGTGGCATGATTTTTCACTCCCTTCTTTCTTCCCCTCTCATTTAAAAAATCAGGGTGCGTCTTTTGGGAGCATTAGAACACAAGGATGTTAGAAATGTCTTAGTTCAAGGACATATTTTTCTTAATACGTCCCTTACCGAAGCATTCTGCATGGCGATCGTGGAAGCAGCAAGTTGTGGTTTACAGGTAAAAAGCTTTCAGGGCTTGTATTGTTGGGATTTCTGTGTTCATATTTTGGAAAGGAAAAAAAAAAAACACACTGAGACACATGCTGTAATAATTTTTTAAGTTGATTTTGTTGATTTCCCCAAGGTCTGATTATATGGACCATGTATTCCTTTTTTTCTTTTCAAGGTTGTAAGTACCAGGGTTGGTGGAATTCCTGAGGTGCTTCCAGAAGATCTTATTATTTTGTGTGAGCCTTCAGTAAAATCTTTGTGCAAAGGGTTGGAGAAAGCTATTTTACAACAGAAGTCGGGGGCATTGCCAGCTCCAGAAAATATCCATAACATAGTAAAGACTTTCTACACCTGGAGGAATGTTGCAGAAAGAACTGAAAAAGTATGTCACATGCTGAGAAAAGATTTTGTCTGAACTCTTGATGTTTCACACACATATTTGCTTTCTTTTACATACAAGTTTGCCATTGATATTGTTGGTTAAGTTTATGAACTCTCTTCCTTATAGAAAGAAAGGAATTATGCATTACTTTTGATACACATGCTGGCTAAGTTTTCGTTAAAACATTGCATTTGACTTCTGATTTTGTTGATTTTCCTGAGGAAAATTAGAACAACCTCATAACTTGTTAATATTTAAAAATATTAAAAATTTAAATATTTAAAAGTATTAAACATATTTTTAGTTATAGATAGACACAGTACCTTTATTTATGTATTTATTTATTTTTTGAATGCAGTGCTGAGTATTGAACCCAGTGCCTCACATGTTCTAGGCAAGTGCTCTACTAATGAGCTACAACCTCAGCCCATAACTTTTTTTTTTTTTTTTTTTTTTTAAAGAGAGAGTGAGAGAGGAGGGAGAGAGAGAGAGAGAGATAATTTTTAATATTTATTTTTTAGTTCTCGGCGGACACAACATCTTTGTTTGTATGTGGTGCTGAGGATTGAACCCCGGGCCGCACGCATGCCAGGCGAGCGCGCTACCGCTTGAGCCACATCCCCAGCCCCCATAACTTGTTAATATTTGATTCAAGCTGCTTCCTAAACTTTTTTTGGTCCTTTTGCTAACTAGTATGATTTTCTGCAGGAAAATGATTTTTGCATCTTTGAACTGTTTGAGAACATAATAAGTTAGAATTCAAAATATACTTAAAAAGTTGGAAAAATGATCTCAATAAAAGACAGCTATAGGGAATTTCAAAAGGACAGGTACAGGAAATAGATTGACACCCTTAGGTAGGAGAGTGTGCTTGTGAGAAATGCTTCCTGATTTTGGTCTAGAGACTTCATTTATTCTATACAGTTTTATCCTTTAGGTCTTTCTCCTGACTACTTCTTCCTCATGCCTTTTATCACCATGTAACAAGCTGAGTGGAAACAACTCATTCATTGTGGAAACAACAATTCATTTTCTTAGTATATAGAAATCCTGGACCAGAAAGACAGCCAGGTAGAGTATGGAAAAGGTTTTAGTGTAGAGTAGTGCTTTATATTTTCAAGGTATGCAATGGAGCAGACAGTTTTTAGCCTGAAGTAGTAGCAAGGTGTAGCAGAGAAGAGAATATATTGTCTTTTACTGTAAGGCTTTTTTACTTAGTTTCAGTGATCAGATTCAGTATATAAAATGAGCCCGTATTTGAGAACAAATTCAAAAACATCTTTATCTCTAAAAATGGTCATATGTAATAAAATTTTCAGTTGAAACGTAAGATATTTTTCAATAAATGTTTTTGACTGAAGTCTGTGAGGCACTCTGACCTTTTAGAAGTCTTGCAGAATCTCAACCCATGTGAAATAGCTACCTCTTCCTTTGAAAGCTGGAATCTAGCACTGATTATCTGTGACTGTGCATGTCAGAGTTACCTGGGTAACCTCTTCAGACTCTGTCTCCCTGCCCCCTTAGCTCCCCAACCACTTCCTAAATTCTAATGTGATTCTGGGGGAGCAGAGATGGAATTTTGTGTACAGTTAGCAAGGATATGTGGCTAGAGAGGTTTTTGGCTTTTTTTTTTTTTTTTTTTTTTAGTGATACCACTCTTTTGTCCATCCTGATTGAGAACCATAGCTCTTTTAAGTTGTGACTTGACCTTCTTGATGGACATCATATAAAGAATTCTGAGCTATTATAGGTAAAGAATTATGGTGACAGTTTGTTAGCATACATTAAAAGAGCTAGTTAGGACTTTTCTTGTAACCACATATTTTCTATTAGTTACATTTAAAGTAATAATAAAGCATCTGTATATTTTTTCTATTTTATACTCTGGTAGTTTATTGTATACATTTAGAAAAAAGTAAATCCTTATCTATATCAGATTGTCACATTCTCGTCACAGTAGTAAATTGTTATTTTATCACCTAAGATAATAAATTAACTGACATGAAAAAAAAAACAGGTCAATTGTAGTTGGGCTTTTAATTCTAGACATTTTGATTCTTTTCTTTCTTTCGAGATTGAACCCAGGGGAGGGGCACTTAACCGCTGCTACATTCCCAGTCCTTTTTTATATTTTATTTAGAGACAGGGTCTCACTGAGTTGCTTAGGGCCTTGCTGAGTTGCTGAGGCTGACTTTGAACTTACAATCCTCCTGCCTCATCCTCCAGAGCTGCTGGGGTTACAGCTTGAGCTGCCATGCTTGGCAACATTTTGATTCTTTTAAACTCCTTTTAACTGTGTTGTTCAGAAAGTTGATCACAAAATTAAATTGGGCTTCAGCCTTCACATAATTTTCAGCCTCATCCTGATTAAAATGTTTATATTTAAAATGTCCTCAGGATAGAAGAACTAGATGAAAGTGTCCTATACTTTTCAAAGGCCATTGACCTGTAGATCTTGTACTTCATGTTGTAACTTTTCTTGAATTTAAAAGAAGATGGTTTACAGGTCTGTGAAACGAAGCACAAGTAATGCTTAAAGGCAATTAAAAAAATGGTCATGCTGGCCCATTTGATGTGTTCTAAACAAGTATGTTTAAAGATCTTTGGGTTTTGCTATTTTAGAGCAAAACGTGCTCAGCAATGTTTTAAAAAGCAAGCCACCTACTTACCAATTCTCAGCAGCAAACTCAGTTTGCTAAAGTGTGAACTATGCTGCCTACTAAAATTTACCCCCTATTTTCCCCTGTTTTACTTGCAGTCTATGGAATGTTTCTGGGTAGCATGGATGGCCTTGTGGCAGTAGAAAGAAGAGCCTGTGTATCCCCAGAAGCCCACTATATTGTGGCACTCTGATTATGTCTGATGTCTGCCAGATGCCAGTGAGAGCTTTCTTTGACCAGTCAAGGCATTGACAAGACCAGTCCTGCTTGAGCACTGCTAAAGTCAGTGTTGAATTAAATATCCTTTGCATTGGTGATCCCAAAGAACTGTTCAGAAATTGTAGGTCTTTGGTATTCTAGTACTCAGCTGAAGTTGATGGTGATCTCCTAGGGGAGAGGAATTAATTGTAGCTTATTCTTTGTGTCACACATATCTAGCTAGCCCAGTCTTTTGCCCAGACTGGGCAATGTACCCAATGAGAGTTGTATCAAAGGGCATTAAGGACATCCTTACTATAACAACAACAATAAACAAGAGCAAATTCTGTTTATGTTTCTGAATCTTTCCTGGTCAGTGTAAATTGTCCTTTGATGGGTCCACCAGCTCATTCTCAGTCTTCTCTCCTTCAGGTGTACGAACGGGTGTCGGGGGAAGCCGTGCTGCCGATGGACAAGCGACTGGACAGGCTCATCTCTCACTGTGGCCCAGTAACAGGCTATATTTTTGCTTTTTTAGCTGTGCTTGACTATCTCCTCCTTGTTTTCCTGAGGTGGATGACTCCAGATTCTATCATTGATGTTGCAATGGATGCCACGGGGCCAAGCGGTGCCTGGACTCATCAAAATCCTGACACTACACAAAGGGTTGAGAATGATGAGGTTTTAGACACACCCAGATAGAATAGAAAACCCAGGTTGTAAAGTTTTAAACATTTGTAATAATTCTATTAAGGTGATTGAAAATAACCTTGCTTTGTTTGTTTTTGATTGTTAATTTTAGCAAGTTATGCTACCTCTATATCATTCGATATTTTCTTTTGAGGAAAGAAAAACTTATGCAATTCCTGAGTGTAGAAACTCCTTGCACTTCCTTAAAATATAGAAGAGAACGTTTAAGCCACTCAGGTATGAAATTTTTCAGATTACTGAAATCCTTCTAGCAGAGATGTTTTAACATTATATTTTGAGAGTTTGGGTGCTGAAGGGCCAAACGTTTCTGGGCATTTTTTGGCCAGTTTTTAACGTTAAAGCATTAATTAGACACTCACCAGATGTTTACAAGTTTTCTTTAGGGAAGTACAACAATTACATGTTCATATACATTTATTAGATATTTAAGTCATGCTCTTAAAACATTTATTGGGTCCATTCGGTAAGCATTACATCTAATCAGCGGGTTTCTTAAGTAAGATAGACTGTCAGTTACCAGCATGTTTTGAGTACCTGCTCTTGTATAGAATGTTGAACTAGCTTCTTCCTGCTGTTCAGGACCCTGGTTGCATTTGCTCTTTGCTCATCTTTCAGATGGCTTCTTTTGTTATAGTCATACTTGACATGAGATGGTAAAATGTCTAACATGCCAGAACTGCTCATATTAGTTAATGCCAGGAAAAGTCACCGGCATACTCTAAGTATTTCTTTGATCGGTTATGTGTGTTCTCCTCAGTAGAGCCTTCATCTTCAGTTATGTTTATGAAGCTTTTGATTTTTAATTTCTAGGGACCGATATCACTGTTGATAGTGCAGAGAAGCCCTCCACATTTTCAGTGCATAATTTAGTCTTCTGTAAATGGCCTTTGTGTTTTCTGAGCAGAATGTATGAGGTGTGCCATCTCACAACCAGCTGCTACCCTGTCCTTTTGATATAAGTCGTTTCCTTCACTGTGGCCTAGCTGATGTCTGATAAGTATTGTCAATGTGCAAAAAGGCTTTACTTAAGAATGTTTTATTTATAGCAAACCAACTCTGAAAATCTTAGGACACGGTCTTTTTGTGAGTGGATGTTGTTAACTATAATTGTTGTTGCCCAGAGCCATGGGTTTTTAAACCCCAAATTATCCACATGATGTGTATTATTAATTCTTTGAACTCTTTAGAATAAGCTTTTGTGAAAAAAGGACTGTGAATCAAAACAATGAGGCACTTGTGGGTGCACTAGATAGATTCTGTCAGTATTGTGATTCTGTACAGGATTTTTAAAATGACAACATTCACAAAACTTCTTACTTTTTAAGAGTATCTTAATATGCCTATTATCTGGTTGCCACTGGTATAAAAGAAATATATTTGTGTTTTGTTTGTACTAAAACACAAATGCAAGAGTGCAATTTTTAAAATCTAGAAGCTAGGGATTCTTTTGTTGGAGAAAAATGGACTGATCTAAACTATTCAGCCCTACTAGGATTTTTATGCATTGAAACTGACATAAATATGAAATAAACAGTGCAATATTCATGGTAAAGTGAGAAATGGTTAACATTTGGTTTTATTTATTCTACTCAGCAATTTTAAAAGGTACACTACTATTTTTTCCTTTTGCTTCTTAATTTATTTTTCAAATTTGTCATTGAATTCTTCAGTTGTTATTTATTTAAAGTCAAAATAGCATTTAAAATTGTTTTTGCATGTAAGATGTGTACTTTACAAGTGAGAAATTATTTTCCTTTTTTTGGTTTTCAAACAAATGAAAGTAAGTTTATTTGTCTTACATAAATCTTAATTTTCAGACTTCCTGGATACCTTAGTTGTAACTGTCAGTGTTGCACTGGTCAGTATGTGGAAACACATTGTTCTACCCCATTACTTAATGTTTATTTAAAAGTGAAATTACATTGATGAGGAATTTATTAAAAATATATTGTATTTCTTTTGATATTACAGATGGTTGCACATGTAAAATTGATTTGTTAAAACATGCTACATGCCCAAAAATAAAGATGAGAATGACATTTTTGACAATTTTCTGAGTTTGTCTTGTTTTATGACCAGGATATTAGTTACTGGTGGAATAGGGTCCTCCCGCCCCACCCTCCCTTTTGTTTTTCAGTGTAAATGTGTTGCTTGGTTTGTTAGTAAAACAGGAAATGTCCTTCAGATGATGACTCATTCTTTTATTTCTACAAATACTCTTTCTTACTCATGGAAGAGCAAGTTCCATTGCACCATTGTTTCCTGACCCAAATAAGCCCTTGTTTTGCACTGCACTAGAGTTCTCACATAGGATAAATGAATGCATCTATACACTATTGTTTATGTGAACTACATAATTATACTTTATATCTTGCCAGATATTGTAAGAGGAATTTGGATTTGGAATTTGTTTATAAAAGCCCAGCTTTTCCCACCCCCTTTGTTAGAACCACTGTAAAGTAGTCACCTACATTAAATCAGATTTTAGTTCTGATTTATCTTACACCAGAACTTATTTTTGGCAATGTCATGTATTATAGGTTTGTATTTACTTTTGTAAAGTGTTTTTAAAGACCTTTTTTTTATCTATCCTTGTATGCCCAGAAGGATGTGTCCAGATGTTAAATTGTGTGATTCTGTGATTGGGTTTTTTATATGAAATTATGAAAATTAATTCCAGTTTTGTACAAAATTTGATTTGTTTTCTGCAGTACTTTGGGGAGTTGAGTTTATTTTATCCTTGATCATTTATATTAGGCTGAGGCTCAGTGGATCTCAACTGAGAGATGGGGGATTATTTTGTTCCCAAGGGGATGTCTGGCAAAGTCAAAACATTTCTAGTTGCATCTGGATGGGGTGTGACATTAGCATCAAGTTGAGCAGAGATCAGGTGCTGCTAAGCATTGTATAATGCTTTGGACAGCCCCCCACAACAGAATCAGTAGTGCTGAGGCTGAGAAAACTGAGAAACTGTTGACTATTTCATCTGTAAAAGATGCTATGAATTAACTATTAAATAGCATTTACCTTTCATTTCTGTCCCAAATATATTGCTCAAATGTAATAAACACAGTCTTTCAGAAATAGTATAGCCATCTATTTGAACCAACTTTTTTGATATGTAAAAAATAGGACTGCCATGTTTTATGTGAAAATTAAAACCCAAACAAGATGAATAATGTTATGATATACATGACTAGTCTGACATGAGTGAACAGTGGCCTCCATAGAGTACAATTGGAGAAGGAGATACATGAAAAGAGCTAAGGCATTGTATTTATGTATTTTCCTACATTGGTGTTCTACTGGATAACCTAAGATTGATAAAGAAAACATGTTAATATCCATTCCTTGAGAGTGGAAACAGCTCAAAATCTCAAAATAACAGTGAACTGGATGAGCTGTATCATGTGGCTCAATGTATGCCCATGTGTTGGCCTCGACGGTGCTGTGAAATAGTTCTTATAGTCATTTTAATTTGCCTGAGTGCTAGGAGAAACTCCCAAAGTTTTGCATAAAGCACTTATTAAATAAGATTTATTTGGTTTGTTTTAATAATTTGCTTTAGTGATAGGTTTTAGAAATTTAGAAAATCGAATATAGTCAAGAATGAAAGAAGAGATAGTTATGAGGAAAATTAAAATTAAATCAAATTCACTTGTATTGGCCAGTTGATAAGAGAATATTATCCAGTTAGGGAAGCCATTGATTTGTGGAATCTTTGGTTACTTCACCTAGAACCTAGAGCATCTCTTTTATGCAGTTCATTTTGGTTCTTCCAAGATCAAGGATAACCCATATTTTCCAGAAAGATGCTCCACCTTTACTGATGCTTGAAATGGAGGTGAATGATTGGGAAAGAACCTTACCGTAGGAACTTGTCATGGGCAAAACTGCAGCAGTGATGAGTCTAGCACTTCCAGTCACTTTCAAGTTTTTGCTTGGAGAGTCATCCAACTTGATAGACCTTTCATTAAATACTGACTTGGAGTAAATAGTCTTTTTTAGCTGGTCTTATTTTAGATGTGAGCTTTAATCCTCCACAAACTTTAGAATAATGAAATGTTCCAAGGAGTAGTATTTCCTACTAAGAACATAGGTTATATTTGCACTTTTTTGTATGAACATCAAATAACTTGCTTTGTCCCTATGGGGTCGGACAAGTGTCTTTTATCTTTCCAACCCTGCTTTCCAACATAATACAGCAAAAGTAGGAATTTAAGAGTAAAAAATGTTTCGGACTGAATCCCACTTGTTAGATGGTACTGAGTAATAATTTAGAACTCTTAGGAGTTTCTGGTTGGAAGGAAATTTCTTTATTTAACGTTGCCATGGATGTCCGTATCTGTAGTTGCCAAATCAGAATTAGATTAGAACCTACAAACTGAGTTCTCTGTAACAGGAGCACAGAGTGCTAGAAGGTTTAAAATAGATGTCATATGATACCAATTATAACTCAGTGAAATTTTGCAGTCCTGGGAACCTATACAGAGCATAAGCCAAAATGGAAGATGGACCTGTTTTCTATGGCTTTAAAAACATTTTTATTACAATGTTTGCTACCTTTTTTTTCTTCAAACTTTTAATTAAAGTTTTTTTGGCTCTCCTAACCCATTTCTATATCGTCAAAGGAAATAGAAAAGAAGCGGCTAGGATAGCAGAAGAGATCTATGGTGGAATTTCAGGTAAAAAAATATGAATTTATTCCCAATACTTAAAAAATACCCTCCTAGATAATTCATGTGAATAGTATTCTAGAAGGCAGATTTTCTTTGTACTTCAGTTTTGAGTGGGTAGTTTAAAAAAATTACCTGTCATTTAAATTAGCAAATGATGTTGGCTGCACCAATATGTGAAGAATTTTCAGCTTAATTTTTGCAAGTTAGTAGAGCAATTAGCAATTATCATTTAAGAAGAAAACAGGATAGTGACTTTTATGAGTAATTTTGAGAAACCTCATTTCTACTGGACAAAAGAATTGCTCAGATAGCATTATTTTCTTTAATAACTGTTGTTTGTTTGCAGTGCTGGGAATCAAACCCAGGGCCTCATGTATGCCAGGCAAATGCTCTACCACTAAGCCACATCCCCAGCTCTATTTCTTTACCATTTTTAATCAACCTTTAAAATAAATAACATTCAGATAAGACTAAATTGCCTCAGGAAATAAAATGAGCAATTTGATTTAAAGCAGCAAAGGTGGCATGCTATATATATTTTTGTGCTGATCATTTGCAAATGGAATTGATTAACCACTTGTCACTGTCAGAAAACTCTTCACAAAATCCATTTATGAGTGGCACCATGCAGAGCACCACAAGGAAAGGTTGTTATAATGTGGAGTACTAAGATTTGGATAAAACGTCTTAAAGTCTCCTGCTTTGTAGAGATTAGACTACATTTCTTTTAAGAAACAATCGTAGTGAGATGCTACAAAAGTAAATGAATCAAGTGTCTCTGTCACTACTGGGATTGCCACTTAATAGAGTATTTATTCATAAACAAGAGTTCAGAGTCTCCCTCTGTATTTTTAGTGTTTGCAGGGGTTCCAGGATTACATCATTCTTTATCTAGTATCCATTTCAATTTGCACCCATGATTCTCTTTCAAAATAGACTTATGTGATTCCAATACACTAGACAACTTGGAAAACACTAGACATCAGCAGTCTTATCCAAAGAAATAGGACCTCCAAAGACAAAGCATCAGAATGCTTCAACTAACTGGGGAAAATGAGAAGAATTTTGAAGTTTCAGAAAGTGTCAGAAGCCCTGGACTGTGGAAAGAGATTTCTTTTGGGGATTACATTTGTCACACATTTCAGGGAGGTACGTTATTTTGGTGAAAAAAATTAATGCTTATCTTTAGTTTCAAGTTAAGCATGATCTGGAAAGCTAATTTCTAATTTAACCTGTAAATTTGGGCAGGGACTATTTTAAATTTTCAGTAATAATTTTGATGTTCTCAGAGTTTAAATGAAGGTAAAGTCCAATAAAGTCAATATTGCCACAGGGTGTAAAAATGTTTTCTCCAATTGCTCCTATGCATTATTCCTATCTTTATGGCCCTTAACGAGGAGCAACGTCTCTTAAAGGGTTTTATAGCAGTCAAAACCCATATAAACATTATTTCAATTGGCCTGGAGTCAGAATTCAAATCTCTGAAATAGATTTGATGACTCTATGGCTCAAATAGCTTTACCTGTTCAAACTTCTGGGATAATATTCACTTAAGTTGCAAGTAACATAATATTATAAGGTTAAAAACATTTTCAATTATTGTTAACAAGAGGCAGAAGTGTGAATAGTGCATGTTAACTTCTCAGTTTAATTTCCTTCCTGTGTGTGTGTGTGTGTGTGTGTGTGTGTGTGTGTGTGGTGTTTGTCAGTCTGTCTCCTCACATACCCCCACCCACATATATATCATAACATATCTGGATTTGGCAAATAAGTATTTCTATAAAAATGTGGTAGTGAGATGCCAGGACCATATTTTTACATAATTCTAAAATTGCTTTTTCTTTTGACATTGTGAGCAGGTATATTAAAAATCAAGAACAAAATTTTGTGGCAGTGTTAAACTCAATCCAGATGTCATCTTTAAACTCTTCATTGGTTGGAAAATATATTCTGTGGAAATATATGACATTTAATCATTAAGTTAGCTGACTTACAGAAGTCTCAGCTCAAAGTTAAATTTCCTGATTCTGCTTTGTATTCTTTAAAATTTTTTTTTTTAGTTGTAAACAGACACAATATTTTTATTTTTGTTTATTTTTTTTATGTGGTGCTGAGGATCAAACCCAGGGCCTCATGCATGTGAGGCAAGTGCTGTACCACTGAACTACAACCCCAGCCCCTGTTTTTTATTCTTGTAAACTATTGTCAGCAATGTCAAAAACAAGAGCAGGGGGCTAGAGTTGTAGCTCAGTGATAAAGTGCTCACCTCGCATGTGTGAAGCACTGGGTTTGATCCTCAGCACCACATAAAAATAAATAAATAAAGATATTGTATCCATCGACAACTAAAAAATATTAAGAAAAAAAACAAGGTCAGAGTTAAATCTTTTCTTTGGTAGCTACACCTAACATCCCTTATTAAATATCATTCTTAGCTGTAAAATCTTTTAGAAATTAATTTTTTAGAATAATTATTTGATACATCTTTGTGGTTGAAAGTATTTGTGTATAACTCATTAAAGTCGAGTTGGCTGTTACTACTTTTGATCTTTCAAGCATCTTTGTGTATTTTGTCAAATATAATACATTTGTGTATATAAGTTTGAAACGTTGTCTTTGGCCCTTAGCTTATGTGTACAACACAGGTAGATCACTGAATGATCGGATCCCCCGTATGGACCACAGATAGTTCTACATGTACTACCTGTCTCCAGAGAGACGTGTGATTTTTCAGCCTTTACTAAACTATAGTACCCTGTGATTTTTTTTTCAGAATCCAGGAGCTTTTGGATGTTCAAAAATAACAATGTGTGCAAACATAAATAATCGCACTAACTGAAAATACAAATAGAAATAATTAATTGCTTAAACTGAGTCCTAGCCATGTTTTGCTAGCAAAGGAGTTTTGCACTGAATCTGGAGGAAAGCTTGATTTTCAGAATTTGAGGGATAAGAGGAAATAGAATTATAGTACCCTTTAAAACAAACAGAGAAGCTAGTTTAAGCTAAATAAAAAGGATTAGTTTCTATTTCCAAGTGTTATGCTCAAAATCACTTGTCCTTGTTCTAAATTCAAGGGACTGAGCTTGACTTGACAACTATCCATCTGCCTGACTCAATAACCTCTTTTTTCCCGTCCTTTCCTTTCCGATAAGATTTTCTTACATTTGTTCCAGTTTTGCCCAAACCCCTACCTAGCCTTCTACTCTTCTTTGGTTCTTGTTGGTTGTTTCACCAAGCCTTGACCTTACTATCCTCTGTGTGGTTACATTATCTCAGATGCCTGCTGACTTCTTCCAAATCAGGACAACTAGTTCCTGGCAGAGGTTTTGTCTCCCCACCTGTCACCTTTAGCTCAATCTCCTGCTCCTAGTGAGTTCAAAGTAGCCTTCTTTTTAACAGAGTTCATTGTGTCTAACACAGCTCATTGGTTAAGTTTAATCTTCTGACCATAGAAAATATTTATTTTAACTCCTTTTATTATATTTTAGATATCTCAAATTTTATTATATTTTCTCAATTACCTTTGTTTTCCTTACAATATCATTAATTCTCCTAGGCTCTTGCCTTTATTTTGATTCAGAATTGAATTTCCTTATGATTTTCTTCTCTTTGATAAATGCCATAGGAGATGTTGTTTCATATGATTTCAGAACTTGAATAAAGAGAATAAAGATTGTTACACGTACCCTTGGGATTATAATCAGTTACGTGGTCTTTTGGAATAACAAGCCAGTAATTTCAAATCCTTGTTAAAATTAGCCAGGGTAAAAATTGTAAAATAAAATATAAAAAAGAATCGGTTTTTATCTTGAATACTTGGAACTTAAACAACTGTATTACTTCTGAACCAATTTCATTATTGAAATATATGGTTTTAAAAGTAGTTACAAATGAGATTGTTATTCAAAGAATTTGAGAACAAGAGATATAAATGATATTCTGAGAAAAATTCAAAGGAGGAAATAAAAAAGTACTTGAACATTTTTTGTACACCTCATCAGTAGCAAGCAAATATATCTGTAGAGTAAACTATTTCATAATGTTTGCAGCCCTATGACCCAGGCAGTCTGCCAAATAACTAAAAATAGTTTGCCTTAGAAGAGAATGACTGAGTACTACTTAAGCATTCATTTACTTGGAGAGTTTAGTTGCATATTTCCTGAAAGGAATGGAAAAATTCCTAACCTTCCAAATGACTTTTATCCTTAATTTCTCACAATTAACTCCAATTCATAAAACAAGAAAGATAAGATCGAGAGACTATCTTGGCAACAAAAAATAGAAAAACAGGACACTTTCACCATGGTACTGGAAAGGTGAATTTCTTGAGAATGATTGTTTCCAGTTGGGGACAAAAATGATTTCTACTTTTAGGCTGATACAATTGGTTTATTTCACATTGTTTATAGAGAGAAGGTAGATGTCAAAGCATTTCAAGACTGGTAAATTTACCATGAGAATAGTCAGAATTTAGAGATCCATAGTTCTTAAAAACAGAATAAAGTATTTTCTGAAGTCTCCAAAAACTTGGCTTTCAGTGCTACTTCTTTTTTTAAAAAAATATTTATTTTTTAGCTGTAGTTGGACACAATACCTTTACTTTATTTATTTTTATGTGGTGCTGAGGAACAAACCCAGGGCTTTGCACGTGCTGGGTGAGCACTCTACCACTGAGCTACAGCCCCAGTCCTCAGTGCTACTTCTGACACTAACCATGAGACCTCTTTTCATGTGGAGCAAAGTGATGAATGTGTAATTTGGAGTATTCTTACTCATAAAATAAGGCTCTCCCCTCCTCTTGAGGAAGCTGCTGGTGCTCTAGGAGAAACAGAAATTTAGATAAGGGTGCCTAAGAAGAAGGGATCTTGTATTTCACTCTCCCGTTGGAAGCCTAGGGAAGAGTTGGAAAGCAGAAGTGTGGTGAGGGAGATTCTCAGGACAACCCCGCTTCCCTCTTTCTTGGGGCAGTGAAAGATGTGGCCACAGGCTTGCCACTGAGACTT